TTAATATTGCTACTTAGTTTAACAGCAAGACAAGAAGCTACCGTGTACCAAGGCCTAAATTACTTGGGGTGGGGGTCATGGGCTATATGGAGAATAAAGTATTTTTAAAAATAAAAAAATCGCTATGCCCATTGATCTGACAGTGTTCAAAATGTCTTCCCCAAAGCATTATACTGACAGATTTAGCATGTTGACCAAAAAAATGCATTACAGCTTTATTAAACAAGTAAAAACCTCTAACCTTAATGCCCTTGGGCAGAGTGCTTCCAATTGTGAGTGGAAGAGGCTGCCATCATCTTCTCTCTTACAAAGCCAGTAGGGAAAAAAAACAGATCCTCTGTGTTTCGCCTGACGTTTCCAGGAATGCCACTTACAGGCTTGCTGTGATGCTGCTTAGTCTTACCCATGTGCTTGAGGGAATTGAATCTGGATGAAAAGGTGTGCTGCAAATCTAAGTTGCTTAAAGAAGCAGCGTTAGCATTAATAAATGCCAACACAGGTCTAGTTCCATTCTAAATTCTTTTTTTTCCGGCTGCTGTAACTTAGAGTTGAAGGCATAAAAATCCATATCTTGACATGGCCTAAGGATTTAGCCTGAAGATTGGCTGCTAATGCAGATGTTTACTTCATCATGCAGACATGTTTACTTCATTCTGTTTTTAAAAAAAAATTAAAAAAATCTATCTACTGACTTGACCTGTCATCTAGAGAGCTTTGCTGCTTGTTGGGAGCTCATATTCAGGATGTTACAGAGAGGCTGCTGAGGCTCATCTGACCCTCTGTTACCCCCTGCTGCTTTTCCACGTAGGCACAAGTGATACTGTTGGGGTATTACGTGTATTACCTGGGAAGTATTACGTGTGACTATATGGCTCTGGGGGTGATGGTCAAGGGCGTGGGGATCCAGGTGGTGTGATCCTTGATCCTGCCAGTAAGAGGGAAGGGCATGGAGGAGAATTGGGTAAAGTAGATGAGGCCTTCTTCAGACAACTGGAAGAAGCCTCATGTTCACAGGTCCTGGTCCTTATGGGTGACTACAACAATGCTGATAATCTGCTGAAGGGAAAACAGCAGAGCACAAGTGATCTAGGAGATTCCTGGAGTCCACTGATGACAACTTCCTGACACAAATGATTGAGGTGCCAACAAGGAGAGGTGCTCTGCTGGACCGGATACTTACAAACAAGGAAGAACTGGTTGTGGATGTCGAAGTCAGGTGCAGCCTTGGCTGCAGTTACCACGGGGTGGTGGAGTTCAGGATCCTGAGAGGAGGGAGCAGGACAAAAAGCAGGACCTCAGCTGTGGACTTCAGGAGAATAGACTTTGGCCTCCTCAGAGATCTGCTTGGAAGAATCCCATGGAATACAGTACTGGAGAGAAGAGGGATCCAAGAGAGCTGGTTGATATTCAAGGATCACCTCATCCAAGCTCAAAAATGGTCTATCCTGGCAAGCAGGAAGTCAAGCATGGATCAAGCAGGATGTTGTTTTCCTTGATTTTGATAAGGCTTTGGACTCTGTGTCCCATAACATCCTAATAGAGAAACAAAGTATGGGTTAAATAAGTAAACAGTGAGGTTGACTGAAAACTGGCTGAATGTCTGCGCCCAGAGGGTGGTGATCAGTTGCACAAAGTCCAGCAGGAGGCAAGTCACTAGTGGTGTACTCCCAGAGCCAAAATTGATCCAATCCTGTTCAATGGCTTCATTAATGATCTGGATGATGGAGCAGAGTATACCCTCAGCAAGTTTGCTGATGAGACAAAACTGTGAGGAGTAGTTGATACAACAGAGGGTTATGCTGCTATTCAGAGGGACCTTGACAAGCTGGAGAATTGGGCAGAGAGGAACCTCATGAAGTTCAGAAACAGGAAATGTGAAGCCCTGCACCTGGGCAGGAATAATCCCATGTAACTGTACATGCTGAGTGCCAACTGGCTAGAAAGCTGCTCTGGAGAAAGGGATTGGAATCCTAATGGACAGCAAATTGAGCATAAACCAGCAATGCGCCCTCATGGCAAGGATGGCCAACAGCATCCTGAGCTGCATTAGGGAGAGCTTTGCCAGTAGATGGAGGGAGGTGATCTGTCCTCTCTGCTCAGCACTGGTGAGGTCACATCCAGAGTGTCAAGTCCAGTTCTGAGCTCCCTAGTACAAGAAAGAGATGGACTTACTGGAGCGAGTCCAGCAAAGAGCCACAAAGGGACTGGAGGGTCTTATGTATGTGGAGAGGCTGAGAACAAGCCTCGAGAATGGAAGGCTTGGGGGAGTGGATCTTATCAATATGAATAATACCTGGTGGGAGGGAATGAAGAAGAAGCAGCCAGAATTTTTTCGGTAGTACCCATTGACAGGACAAGAGTCAATGAGCACAAATTAAAACACATGAAATTCCATCTTAATAGAAGGAAACAATTTTTTACTATGAGGGTTATCAAACACTGGCACAGGCTGCCCAGAGAGGTTGTCGAGTCTCTGCTTGTGTAGCTATTCAAAAGCCATCTGGACATAGTCCTGGGCAACCTGCTCTAGGTGACCCTGCTTGAACAGGGGGGCTGGACTAGATGATCTCCAGTGGTCCCTTCCAACTGCAACGATTCTGTGAACTCTTTTTAAAGTCCTGGCACTAAAAGCAGCAAATTCGAAAAACAGGAACTGTGAAAAGAAGAAAAGCCTGCTCAGTTGATCACTCTCATGCTAAAGGGGTAGGATCCCTTTTTTGATTTGTCCCAGTGTAACTGTGGTAGCTAATGTCATCTAATCTTCCTAGCGTTCTGGACTGAGAATTTTTTTTTTCTCCAACTCTTTCATATAGTGTGGGCCAAAGGAGAGTGCAGTAATGCTAAACAAGGAACAAAGTTTCATGGCAATACAGTCACTGGTTATTGCAACAGATACGTTGTGCTTGAATTCTTCCACAGAATGCAACACACTTCACCTGAGGCACTTCAAATATATATGGCTTATAGAAAATGTTGATGCCCTAGAGAAGAAGGGGAGGAAAAGTTGTTATGGCAAGTGAAGCATTGCACTTCCCCTTCAGTGTGTGAGAGCATAATTTGCAACTATATATGTACAGGTCAGTGCATCTGAAATGCGGGAAGTGGACAGGATGATGTTTGATACGCAATTCTTTATAATAGAAGTCAAATGGGAAACACATCTCAGCCAAGTGTATGCCTCCCTATAAAAAGCTTTGCAAGTATTGAAATTCAGACTAGGTTAGTTTTCAGATAGTACTAACTAGAGAGCATTCAGAATTTTGCCCTTATATGTTGCCACTCCTAAGTTGGGGCAGGTTCTTAGAGTATACATAATAAATTGTTTAATGCCCGTTTCTTTAAAGATCCTTGCTACTTACTGTAAGGAGGAGCAAGAGGTTGAATCCAGTTTTAAAATGTAGCAGCACTTAAAAGGAAATCTCTGCTCAAAAACCTGCAGGATTTTGAGCCAGTGAACAACAGTGTACATTTGCTCAAAGAATCCAGGTGGCTGTGGGCTGTGTTAAATTTCTGCATTAGCTGTGAAATGATCTGAGGAACACATTTCAATCACAGTACTGAAAGTAGTGCTAGGTTATACCTGTTAACAAATGTCTTATCAAGTTATGGTCCCCACATGTTTATTACTGCTCAGAAACAAAGATTCTGATACGCTGTTGACTGTTGTTCCTCTAGTACAAAAATCAGTGGTTATAATTTAGAGGAATGGTGAGAGTGGATTCAAGTGGATCTGTGCTGAAGTAGATAGGAAGAATACAGATGAGTGGTGGGTACAATAACTTTTTCCTCAAGGTAGTGACACAAAGCTTTGTATGGGAACTTGTTAAACTGACTCCAGCCAATCCACAAGTCATCTCTCTGTGCCCTCGGCGTGTTTCCCATGTCATTGGCTATGTCTTTCCTTCTTCAAGGAAAGAGGAATCTATTGCAACAGATTTTAGAGACACTCTTCAGTATTTTTGACTTGGAATCTGTGCTTTTGTGTCTTCATGCAGCATGACACCTTGATACTGATCGATGTGTATTTTTGGGCTATTTGTAGGTGATTGCAACAGTATAGACAGTTTCTTATTATTTTTGAGGAGGAAGTAATAAGTTGGATCAAAGAGTGTATACCATGTAATTTATCCAAAATGTTTGGAAACACTAACTTTATTAAATGAACAAAAGCTCCCGTGTTTGTTCTCTACTAATCTAAATGAAAGAATGAAGAATATGTGCACTTTTTTCCATTTGCAGCTTTTTTAGGCTTCTTCCTCCTCATTTTTTAATATAGTTCTATAATTAAAACTTACTTGTTCTTACTTTATGAAAGAACATTCATGGTATGTAGATCTTTCTTTCATTTAAATACCTTGATATCAGAAATATGTCCTAAAAACATCTAGTAGCCAAGCTTAAGAGAACTATCACACTCAACATTTAATCAGATAATTTTTCCCTTTGGCACAATTTGTGCTTTGCATTCTTCAAGTTCTTTAGTTGTATGAGCCTGTACCTTACACTCTCCAGGGGTGAATAATGGGGCCTTAAATTTGTTGTTGCTTGCTGATACTCCTTTTGTAGCCAAAATGGATTTGAAAAAGACCTCAATATAAGTAAGAGTCTAGTTCACAACCTGCAAATTTACCTGTCTACAGCAGAAATTCATCATGGCTCACTAGGGTAGAGCTGATTTTTATGAAAGATAGGTAGATAATTTCCTAGGGTCAGCATTATTTTAAGCAGTCATTTAAGGGCAAGAGGGATTAGGAAATGGTGATGAATTTTTCAGGTTTCCATGAGAAAAATCCAGTAAATAGGTCGTAACTCCTACATCCATGCTCTAGGTGACACAGCTTTCGTTCCTTAGTGGGATGAGGAACCTGTGAATCTGAAACTAGAGTACTTTCTCCTTTCTGCTACAAGTAAGATTATAGCAAGCCATTTTCAAATAAGAAATCTCAAGTTTTGCTTTTTTCTCCAAATGAAAAAATGTGTTTGCTTCTATTTCCAATTAGAAACACACATCCTGGAACAGAAAACAGAAGATTTTTGTGTTGAGTTTCAGTTTCATCAGAATTCTCAAAAAAACCCAGAATTTTTCATCCAGGCAGAAGCTGAAGCACAAAATCTTTCAGATTTGTCAGTAACCAGTCAAAGAAGAGGAGCTCCAAATGATTTTAATTCCAGTCCTGAAGAATCAAGGTAAAAACAAATATCCCTATATACAGTTTTTCTAGATTCAAATTATAGACAATATACATATGGATTTTTGGATAAAGATAGGGAAGTTTACTTCCTAACTGAGAATCAGTAAGTCAGCTTTTTACTTAGACTCACCATATCTGCCCTTCTTTGCTTGTGGAATGGAGCATTTCATCACTGTGTTCTCTAGCACTGATAGAAAATACGATCATGGCAATGGCTTATGTGACTCACTGTGGGTATTTCAATGATTGTGATCTCTCCAGAGAATTTTAAAAATGCATACTGAACAGAATTAGAAAAGATGATCTAAAAGTCTAGTAGTATCTGTGGCTTTATACAGCAAGCACAGCATACCCTAAGTATGATGAGTGAGTAGGAAGCAGGAATGAAGCAGGGTGGAAGTGAGTAGGAAGCAGGAATAAAGCAGGGTGAAGTCCAGATGAAGTTGGAAGAGTAAAGATGAGGAGCTGTAATACCTTGTAGACAGTCTGTGACAGGAATCTGGAGAAGGGCAAATATGGTTGAAAAGTGTAGTACAAACTCTGAAGATTTTATTCTGTCATTAATTTTGGTCATTTATTGTCATTAATTTCCATATTGAGCTATGGCCCTCTGTTGCAGTCTTAAGAAACATATACACCCGTGCTATATGTGATGTAATATATGAAGGTCTACACAACTGACTAGGGAACATGCTACCAGTTTTGAGCAACTTAGGCATTCTGAAGCCCAAGTCTTACTGAGAGTGACAGAGTTGCTTTTGAAAATGGGATCAAGGCTGCAGAGCCCTATGATGTACTTTTGAAAAATATACTCTTAATTCTTCACTTGTCTGGCAGATTCTACACCTGGTTTTGTTATCTTTAGCATGATCTAGTGGTGACCCATTGGGCCAAAACCGGTCCATAGTACTTTTCCATCTGGCTTGTTGCCTTTTTTTGCATTAGGGCCTGAGATATGCCGTTAGGGCAATGCATCCTGCACTAAAAGCCAAATATAATCCTGAGTGCTTAAGTACAGCCAGCACAGAGTCAGCCAAAGATTGTTGCTCCTACCCTTCACCAGTGCCACGTGCACTGGCAGTCAGGTTGGTCTTGAACACTGAGATTAACCTCCCACAGCAGTCAGCATGTTGAACCATCTCATCTGCAAATATATTGCATGTAGGATCCTAAAGCTATAAGCCAAAACCTCATTGTGGTAGATACTATATAAACTGCACAAAATCTGTCCTTCCCCAAATAGATTGCAATTAGAATATAAGATGAGAAAATATCTTCATATAGAATGACCCAGCAAATGTTGAGTCAGTGTTGATTTGCATTGTAGATTATGGTCTTCGTGTACCATCAATGTGACTTGTCAAGTTTTCTTTTAGACATCAGGAAGAAAACACTTGAGGGATTGAAAGATGAGGAGGAGGTATATTCAAACTTGTTCATGGGAAGCATCTCCTGAACATGGAAGATGCACAAAAAAAGCTTGAGGTTTGCAATGTCTGGGCAATAGTATCCAGAAGCATCCACTTGCAGTCCGAAACAGTACTAAATGAAATTTGCTAGACAGAGCAAAGGATCTTGAAAGTGAAGACAAGCAGTTTAAGCACTCTTCCACCCCATATATACACTATATACACTATATTACACTAAGTAAGTACTTTTTTGATGTGAATCTCCTTGCTGTCTACATTTTATGTGCTTTAGGTTGCACCATAGTTTGTCTGCAGAGTATGGATCTTAACTTTCTTCTTAAAGAACCATACAGAAAATAAATCCAATGGAAGCAGGTGAAGAAAGGGGTAACTGAGTGCAAACAACTGTCTACCGAAGAGAATGACTCTTTGGAGCAGCAGATAGCTTTCCTTTTCTTTCTAGGATGTGAATTACACATAATGAAAGTAATGTATACAGTAGAAATAGGAATTCAGGAGGTATAGCTTTTGTCTGGCTGCTTCTTATGACTCATTGGCTATGAAGCCTATAAACAGAAAACGCTTAAGGGAAGCGAATGTTAAAAATATTTGCTAATACCCCTTCTAATCCATTCATCTACTGATTTTGCTGCCATCTTACAAGTGAGATCTGAGTTATCTGTGAGTATCAACGGATAGCCAAGGAGTTTTATAGAAATCTTACCTTGAGACAGAATTTTTGTGGCCATTGAATCTTGTCTAATTTTCCCCTGTCTATGGCTAAACAAGTTATCTTAAAACTCTGTGAGTGCTATACAGTGTGGAATTCCTGTTGTCAGTTATAATATTTAGAATAACACCTTCATTTTACAGATTTCTGCAAGATGAGCGCCTAGATCTTGTCTTCTGGATATTTTCATTTCACTTCATGTATAATTGTCCATGCTACCACAGAATTTGGTTTCTTTTAGCCTAAGCATCAATTTTATCCCCAAATGTTCATTCCTTTGTCGCTCCGTGTTAGGCACAGGTTTTTAATATTTGGTTCCCTTAAGCGTTTTCTGTTTATAGGCTTCATAGCCAATTTATATTCATCTGTTTTATGCCTTAGTACTGTAGTATATTTATTTACTATTCCAGATTTACAGATTTTTTTCAGAATTACAGATTTAAGAAGTGAGAGAAGGACATCCCTTTTACTAGCTATTTAATACATTTGTAATGGTTAACAAATTTTGATAATTTATTTCTGTGTATTTTGTTTCAGGGGGAGGGGGTGAGAAACTGGGTTTGCATTATTTTTCTTTCTTTTTTTTTCCCTTCTAAACACAGCACCGTAGAAAGACAGGCTAACAGGATGCTCCCTGAATTTACATCCTCATGGAAGGGTGCTGCAGATTTAGCTGGAAAAACAGAAACTGCATTCCTTTTAAAAGAATTGGACACTCTGAGGGCCAAAAATAAAAAGGTACAATTGAGATATTCAGATCACAGTATTTGCTCTTTTATGGTTGTCTTACAAAACATACATTTTAAACTGTTCCTAATTTAGTTTTGTTATTTATTTTAGTGCACCAATCAATAGCTTTCTTGTAATTTTGGATTCTTAGTATCTGTTTAACAACTGCTTCTCTGGAATTAAAAAAATCTTTCATCCTACCCTTTGACCTTTTTAATGAGTGACATAGGTTCTTGCATCATGGATGAAAACCAAGGAGGACTAAAACCAAGGCCAGGATTTCATTAATAGAATCTGGAGCTCATGCTTCTGTACATGTGGTCCAGACAAAGAATGTGCCCTGATACCTCCTCTTTGTTGAGGGGAAGAAAATTCCATCCTACTTGCACACTGCATTGCTTCTAGCATTAGTAGTGGTTGAATGCGCCTAAACAACAGAGAAGTCTATATATAGTCTTTCCATGAAGTATCATTGAATATTCAATGGCAAGCTCAGATATCTGCCAAGAACAGATATAGTGCATTTCCAGTGAAAAGAAAGGCCTCAACATGTGAAAGAATATCAGTTTTCTATCTGGCGATGCTCATGAAAAATTACGTATTTACACCACAGTCTCTTCAGGCTGTGATGTCAGTACTCTTGGTAGGAAATAGGCTATTCATGCAGGCACCACCTGCATTATAATTCCATGTAATTCTGAACTTCTCTAGCGAGGACCACAACTGGTAATACCTGAAGAAGAGAATTCCAAATAAAAATAAGGGCACACACATTGCTCCTTGTCTTGCAGAGCAAGATAGGGCAGATGATAAAAAAGATATCTTTAACATTTGTCCTTGAAATAAATAAATATAATTAATTTAAATTCTGTTGTATTGCTTAGTGTTTGTATTTTGGGGGTAAGAAACTATTATTTAAAATTTTGTTGTGGTTACAAGAGCTGGTTGACTGTTTCAGCTAGATAAGAATCTTACTGTCCATTTGTTCAATTCAGTTTCAAGATAAGCTGTCTGAAAAGGACAAGGAGCTGAAGACAATAAAACTGGACTTAGAACTGCAAGAGAGAGCTACAGAAGCTAAGATTGCAGAAAAGATTGCAGGTACAGTAGGCAAGCGTTTAACAGATGGCTGTATGGCTCATACAGTACCTGCGGTTGCTATATGACGTGGCCTAGTGAATGTTAGCTTTATTTGCTAAAGGAGGGAAGATTTGACTTTTTTTTTTATGTGTGGCTGTTTAGAGTTGCTTAGAAAATAGGTGGCTTTAACATCCTGGTACTGGTATTAGCAGGAGCTTTACCTGTATTCACACTGATTTGGGCATTAAATGCATTGTTAACACCATGTCAATCCAATCACAAAAAGGTTGTTTGTTTTGTTGGAAGGTCCTGAACAAACAAGGGGAAATAATGATTACCAGTGCCTCTACCTTTCAACCAGCAGTTCAAATACCACTTATTGTTTTAGCTTGTTCAGAGCAATACTACCCCCTCCCCGTGTATGGAGATAGTCGCACATTCACCTCAACTAGAGGCCTGTACTTTTCTTGAAAAATCTGTTCTTTTGGTAGTTAATGAGTTTTTGTCTGATGATGGTATGTCTCCAGTGAATGAAGTTTATACAAATTCCCAAAATGAAAGTTTTTTAAGTTTATAGTTGAAAGTGAATGCATGGTTATATTTGTTGTTAATTGTTCTTTGGGTGGGCATACAAGAATGGAGACAGTTTGTGTTCTATGATTTTGGAAATTTCTAAAGTAATGAAGCTGAGTATTTTTATTATTGAAAAGTGACTGTGTGTACAGTGTACCCAGTGGATGAAAAATACACTGAGGTTTTTCTCCAGGTGTTTCAAAGAAATTAATGGGAGTGCTTTTATAAATTCATCGTATCATTTGTTCATAAATAAAGCGTGAGCTAGGTAAAATTCCATCCTCATAGACCACACACGCTTCATATAGTATTAATAGTACTAATACCTGTCCCCAAAATATTAGTACTGAAGGGAGGAGTAACTGTCTTCAGGAAAATGGAGCAGAAAATAAATTCTCCAGCTGAAAAAACAGATGGCTGACTTTCCACTTAATGTCAAACTCCTGAGAATACAGTATGCTGTGTATACTATAGATGGAAGAGAGAGGTCCTAGATTTTCTGTGGTAGAGGAAGGGAAAAGCAAATCTAATCTACATATTAGGAAACAAATTGAAATACAGGCATAATTTTATTCTTATTTCATTTTACATAAACTGCTTGTTTTATTTTCAGAAGAAAAAAGATCCACACTAGGTATCATAGCTATATCCAGCAGCCGAAAGCTAATGCAAATTGTTTGGGTTGAATCCCAAGTTTTGTGTTTGTTCCTGGACATTTGCACAGTGTTCTACTTCTGTACCTATAATAGCGAAATATTCTCTTTGATAGAGGTGTTCATTGCTCATTAAAACCTGGAAAGAAATGTATGTTGAAAGGTGTGTCAAAAACATGTTTAGTTTCATTTTTATGGATACAGTTGAAATGCTTGTTAGTAAATTGTTTTTTCCTACATTACTGTTTAAACTTTCTAATTATGTCCTAAGCATAATATTCTCTTCAAAACAGTATGGCATGAATATGGATATCATAATTAACATAGTTATTCCATTTTAAAAGGAAGAATAGGCCAAATTTTAATGAGAGCTACAACGTGTAATAAGGATGACCTTTAAAACAATACCTTTTTTTCTCCTTTTACGAGTTCAGGAAGTATAAAATCCTTTAAATGCCGAGAGAGGGAACAAGAGGCTCCTTACTACTTAAGCTGTTTGCAAAAAGGAAGCATCATTAATATTTCATGGATTTTTTGCTTCCTGTCTTACAGTTCTAAGAATGTTACCAAGTTTGGATAAATGTTTTGAAAACTAGAATGATGTGAACCAAACTGAATTTGTGGAGGTCTATGTGTCTCTCTCTCGTAAAAGCCTTGGGGAGACTTCTAATGGACAAGCAGAATCTAATAAAGAAGACTCAGTGTGTTTAAGGGAAAACTTTTTCCCCTTGTGTTAAGTCCTTTGAGGAAAGGAGAACACGTGCTGCTGTGATTTCATGTTGCTAGTTAATGTTTAATTACTGCAGTGTATAACACATGGTAGAGTGAATCTTGTAAATATGGGTGTTTGCATTTTTATTATTACTTAGTACTGACTTTATGATAAGAAAATGACTCCACAAAATTATATTGTAAAAAACATCAGAAAGGTACACCATAAAAATGTTATCTACTTTGAGGAATATTACAATTCTATTTTAAAATGTAACCCTCTAATTGATGGGTTTTACCTAAAAAAGTCCCGTGGAAAGGACAGAAAAGCTGAAGACAAATGCCATTTTAAAATAAAGCTACAACAGTCTTCAGAAACAAATAACCCAAAGCTTGTCACTTTTATGATTTTTACTTTGTTCAGAGGAAGAAGTGAAGAGGAAAAGTGTAAATTTGTGAAATGCTTCATGAGAGAATAAGAAAAAGTAGAGTTAAAGCAGAAGATACGCATGGTGGAAGAGAATGTTTAATACTGTTTGCAGTAAATAACTTATTTTCAGAAGGTGTTTATTTTTAAATTTTACTAGCCTGGAAAATGGATTTTAGAACTTCCTTGGGTCCCTGTCTCTGTCAGGTAGCTATGGCTAAGGAAAATTAGGGAATACACAGTTTTGGTTGCAGGCTTTTAAGCATTAGAGACTATTATTTCTGGTGGTCATAGTTGCCACAGGTTCCTGCTGTTCCTTCATTATTCTTCTGTTGGATTTCCTCTCATTATAAGCCAATGTCAGAAAGTACCATTAGTTTCACTCCTCATCATGAAGAGAAGAACAACAGAGGTGGAGGCAACATCAGGAAAATCAAGGGAAGAGCACCTCATAAAAGAACTGAGGCTAGGATAATGTAAGGAAAAAAGTGAACACCACATGTGAACTGGGCATGAAGAATAGACAAATCTTGAAATGTGGGACTGCAGAACTTTCATATGTTGAACAGAAAAGGGAATGGGTGCACTCTGTGAGAGGGGAAAGGGAGAAGGAGCACACATCTTCTGAGGACAGACTGGAAGGATGGAGGCGTTGCAAAGGAGTAAATCTTCAAAAGAACTACTAGCAGAGAGAATAAATCTCACTTTGGATGGACATAATAAGTGACTTCGTTTTTGCCTAACAGAAGAATTATACAGGGGGTATGTAGGAACTTTTAGAGGAAAGAGCTGGTTGAGTGTAAGTGAGAATTGTAGAGCATAATGGTAGCCTCTCTAAACTGGAAAAAATATCAAAGTCCCGCTCTTCTCGGAGTAACTCCCACCGTTACTGCAACAAGACATACCATAGTTGGCATCAGAGCCTCGGCTCTTGGAATGTTTTTGTTGCCATCACAGTGCTATATATTGGGACTAAGAATAATTCTGAAGGAAAGTATAATAAAAAATATTTCTCGTTAAATCTTTCTGTAGCAAGGGCTATTCTGTGGGGTTTTTTGCCAATATCTAATAGTAATGTTACCAAAATTTAATACTTTTTTAAATCAGAGTCAACTGATCGAGTCTAGCCCTGCTAGGTCTGTTAGCCTTGAATGCCTGAAAAACTGTATTAGCATTCTGCAGATGCTCTCTGAAAGACCAGGGTAATGATAGAAAATATAGTGTGGAAAAAGGGGAAAGCAGTACTTCTAATACTGTTGTATATGTTATACAGCTTTCAGTCTCTTGGAAACTACGGCAATATACCTACAATGAAGTCCCTTTTTTCAGGTCTGTTTTTACAAAAATGTTGAGAATTAACATTTGTGGTATTTTGGAATTCTTGAATATGGTATGGAAATGCTCATGAACGTTATTTGAAGTTTCCTAAATTAACTTGAAAAATAATTACTGAATGCATATGCAATAGTTTTAATAGCAAAAGTGAAAACAAATATCCAAGTGGCTATTAGCTTAGAGTTAGTTTGATTTAATAATCCATAAAGTAAGAGGAAATAAGTAATCTTGCCAGTAATAAACTTTGGGTGGCAATAACTTCCAGCACAGAAGAAAAGTATTTTCCACTTCTTCAAAGCTCACTTTAGAGTCCCTTTTTAGATGTTATTTTTCTTTCTTGCATGTCATCCATTAAAGATTAGCTGTGGAAGGTTGGAGCATGGAAAGATTATGAATGACAGAACAACTCCTGCAGAATAATAATCAGTTTTTGGTATTTAATGCTGTTTGACTTTTGCAGACACATTTCTTATTAACCTTTGGTACAAACAGAAATCCAGGTTCCTGATATCTCATGGAGAAGATGAATTCAAGATCCTCTTCCAATTAAACTGAAATAAGGCCAATATTGGGCTTTAGCCAAAAGAACTTAATAGTTCCCAACCCTTGTGTTTATAAACCTAAATATGAATGATATTTTACAGTTTAAGTAGGTAATGCATATACTTCCCTAACTCAGTTTTCTGTGCATAATTCATTTTTATATATAGGCTATATAGTTCTTAGGGGTTTTGTCCTATTAATGCTTCATTATGCAAAACTATTTCCTGAATATTTTTTCAAAATATTTCCTGGTAAATAATAGAATTTTGAAAATAGCTGTAGGATTTGAATCCTCTCTATGGGAAGGTAGACAATCCATCTGAAGGACAGAAAAAAAAACCCAAGGTGGAGGTGTTGTGACTGAGAACATCTTGGCTTAATTTTTAACAGCTTAATTTGAAACAACGTAATTTTACCTTCAGATTGTTAGAATTGTTGATTGTCAAAATGTTGCATGAAGCTCTCTGAAGTACAATATACGATGAGCTGGCATAGGTTCAAATGTAAATTACTAAGCTATTTATGGGTGGAGCTTGTATGTAAAAAGCAAGCCAGTATCTTCTGCATATTTTTATGATTAGTCTGGCCCTTCTCTCTTCCCCACTACAGTGCTAGTTGAACATAAAGAATTGGGTTTTATTCAGGGATAAAAAGGTCTGCAAATAATCTACTTCTTGGGGTATTACAAAAACTTTTCTTTAACCTGTCAAATTATGACTTGAAAACTTTAATGCAACATTTATATTTTCCCCCCTAAAGTAAATATTCAGGCATCGGCA